AGATAGATAGATAGATAGATAGATAGATAGATAGATAGATAGATAGATAGATAGAGTGAGAGAGAGATAGCGAGGTAAATAGATAGATGGATAGAGAGATAGATAGATAGATAGAGAGATGGAGAGAGATAGAGAGGTACATAGATAGTAAGATAGATAGAGAGGTAGGTAGATAGACAGATAGATAGAGGGAGAGAGAGAGAGAGAGAGAGAGAGAGAGAGAGAGAGAGAGGGAGACTATTGGGACTTTATTCTTTGTATTTTATTATTAAGCTTATTGAGCACTTACTCCTGGAAGTGCGCTGGAACTTGAAAAAAATTATAGTTGAATCTCACGAAAATTACGAGACCTTGCGTGCCTCCTCGAGACTGTGCTGCTGGACACAGAATTTCGAATGTTTGGTTCGTGACTGGTTGCTGTACAGGCAGGTAGATTCTTTTCTCACTCTCACAAGGCAGGACTTCCGACGACGCCTAGGAGGTGCGTGCAATAATCATGAATGGGCATTTGATTGAAAAATGTGGCTAATACATCTACATGTATAAGCTTGCCCGGAAACAGGATGTCATGGATGCTCGTGTGCTCAAACACGTACTCACTCACACAGGTTGTTATGATAATGATTATAATCACTAATCAGTAGAATTGTTTTTATTATATTATATTTTATATTGACATTGTTATTATTATAAGACGAAAAGGAAGAGCAGACAGACTCTACAGACCAACGTCTGTGGTGTAGCGGTTATGCGCCAAGTTGACGCACGCAGGAGACACGAGTTCGATTCCCGAGTGGGGAGAAAATCTTTTTAAAAAAAAAGTGTATCTCGGTCTTTGTGCTGGGATGTATCCATCTCAGCCCGCGTTGGCTATGACAGTCAGGGTCGGAAGCCCGCCTCCTAAATTATATGTATTGTGGCGATGAGGGCGTAGAAACATCTACGCTAAAAAAAAAAAGACTCATCATGAGTTGTTAGACTTACTAAATTAATAACTGGTCAGACTTGGGAGAGACTGCCAGCGCTGATTTAGCCATCCTCATCACTAGTCTGTTCTAAGTCTGCTAGTTGATTCTCTTATAATTTTTGTTCCATCTTCCTTTGTTGAGCTGATTTATACTGGCGTCTGTTTGGTCACGGTTAGATACTTTACTGTGGCGCGCTGGAGACTTGCGTTCGATTCCCGGGTGGGGAGAATTCTTGGTCTTTCTGCTTGGATGTTGTATCCCTCTCAGCCCGGGTTGGCACTGACAGGCAGACTGGAAGCCTGCCTTCTACTTCTAGATGGAACTATTGTATCCGTTTGTGTGTGTCTGTGTGTGTTTTT